AAAGTTTGCAGAAAAATATTTCCGAATCAGTAGGATTTATCCTGATATTTGGGTTTTGCATGAAATCCATTACCAAATTTATGTCAAAATTTAAAAAAATGAAATTAAGTTTTTTCCTTTCTTGGGTCAACATTTCATTAACTTGGCCAAACTTTAATACTTTAACTAATAAAATATTAATTCGCTTAGCATGTTTAGCAGTAGGTAAATGCAGTCACTTCAAACGCACATTATTGGCACATTCAATTATCTAAACCCCTAAGCGATTTTCATTCTAAACCAAAAAAGAAATTAAGATAAATCTGTAAAGACGGAAATAGCTATGACCTGCGTTTCCTAAAATGACTTTATATAAAAGATAACTTACTATTTTACGCATTATATTTGAAATATATTATGAAATAAGCTAGATGCCTTCTTTATTTGCACTCATAAGATTTGTCTTCTGCTTAGCTTTTTGTGGATATTTCTTACGCATTAACCACGATTCCCTAATATACCTCAGAATGGTCTAAAATAGAAGATAACATGATCTTTTATCACTGTATTCAGGATGCACTAATGAGCTCGTGATAAACTCGTTCGCAACAATACTCATTTGTGTACAAGTATTCAAGGTGAATAAAGTCGTTTAAAGCCTCCTTATTATTTTAAATATCTTGTATCATTGCCCCGACAAACACTTCGTTCTCCAGATTGGACCATCATTCTTATCAGCGACCACTACCTGACGCCAATTAAAAGGAATACCCTTATATATCAATGTAAGCATGCCAAAATTGTATGCTGAGCAACCCGTGATCGAGTCCCGTTGTGAATGTGTATGAGGCTCTGACGCTGAATGAGAATAACTTCTGGGACTCAAGGCTAATTGAACTTTCCTGGAACATTAAAGCCATGACTGTAAATAATTGGAATATTAGTCTCTTATAATCTTATTCTCCCTAGGGTCACTAGACCTCTCAAGTAAGCACGAACTTGTATTTGGCTTTGATACTGTACTAGATATTATCATATATATATTACAAAGTGTAAAGTGGTATTCACCTGCAGACCTATATTTTATGTTTTATTTTCTAATTAAACTAATGAAAATTTTATACAGGCCTTAACAATTGTGAATGAGGGAGTTTAATTCATTTTCAATGTTACATTGAATTTATGAAAAGTTAAACTGTTAAAAATTTCTTGTCTTTTTAAAAAAAGTTATAAACAAAATTATATCAAAAGATTTCCTATATAGTTTTACGTGTAACCAGTTTATATGCAATTCTAGAAGATATCTTTCTTCTTCCTTCACATTGTGTTTCGACTTTTACCAAGCCATTTTTATGGGGAAATCCTTATTTCTACTAAGATCAATATATTATGTGAGAAAGAATTAGCTAACTATCATCTTCATTGGCCTCCAATAATATATTTTTGAACTAAATCTAGTGATAACTTTACAAATTTGAAAAGGACCAATATAAACAATTTTAAAAACAATACTATAACTTTATTTGTTTATCTAGTTGAATTGCATTCACTATAAGTTTTGTAAAACTTTCCATAAATTTGAAAAGACGGTTGGAAAGTATTCGTCACGTGGCCTTACTGGAAAGCAAGGGGAGAATGTAGTGAACCTTGACCTGTTACCATGCGCAAATAAGGCCTTGGCTCATCGCCCTGCTATTCCTCCTTCTGAAATTTCGTCTATTATGCGAGAGATATCTTCAGAGTCATAAACCGTTGTTTACGAAATGTTTACCAAAACACCAAATTATGAAAGGTTGCGAGCTGGAATCCTAGCTTCTATACCGAATTTTGTGATTTTAATGAGGCATCCCATGATTTGGTTAACTACTGCATCCTTACTTCAAGTGCTAGAAGATAAGTGAAGCTAATGGATCACAAGTGTAACACCTTCGATCTGCGATTTTTTCGGAGAAACTTCCGACCATTTTGCAGCTCAGGTCATTAACAGATTTTGTGCTCATGTGGTACAGTCTTTGGAGAAGAAACCTGTCAATCCATGCATTATAGAATATTCGAACACAAACTGTCCTCAAGGCCTTAAGCTTCCAGAACAGATGGAATACAATACAGCATAAAAAACGAGTGTAATCACATGTGGAGAATTTTTATAAAAGTAAACTATTTGGGGCTCGATAGAAAAAATATCAAAACAATCAATCTCCTGGATAGGAGAAACCAGTGTAAAATGGTAATCAAGAGCTTCCCTTTGCTATCAGAGAGAATAAAGAATGAGCTACTGAGTGATAAGAGAATTCTCAACCAATCTAAGTTCTAGCTATAGCTCTAACATATATGCTAACTCATGAGTGTTCCACGAACATGCATACGCTCATCCATCCATTTATACATACATACACACATACACAAGGCAGACAGGCATCTACAAACCTAGAACACGCGTCACCTTGGAAGAAATAAAATGAAATTGTTGTAAAAGTAAAATATGAGATTTTTTAAATAAATCGGCTAGTTTAAATAGTATTAAATATATATAGACTTGCTTGAATGGAATCCGAATAAATGAGGGGAAATCAGTCAAATCTAACCTTAGAATTAGTCACATATTATTAGACAGTATAAAGACACTTTGGCTTCATTGTGGGTTCTATAGAGTAGTATGGGCTACAAGCCTGTAAAAGAGAATGGTGGATTACTTGGTATTGCCTCAACTTTGGGTTTATCGTTGAGAGCCAACTTCTGCCAATCCAATAAGTCAACGAGGCGACGCCAGTCAACCAAATCTGACAATATCTGGCTACAGCATTTTTTTCCTTCTTCTTGGTGTCTTGTTGCTTTTCTTTCCTCTCCTTCCATTTGTATGATCTTGTTATCTCCTTCGAAGTGATATTGTTCTTCCATCCCAGAATTCGTATTTTTTTCAGTTTTCGTGCTAGATCCAAAGTCCGAATTGTCAGGTTTTGACAGATGCATTAGATGTCGACATGCGAATAACATTTCTTCTGTCAAATTCTCATCTAGAGGTAGCTCGAATTGTCGAATAAGTTTTCGCACCTCCTCCTCACGAAGCGAATCGCGCTGCGCATAAATTAATGTTAATTTTTGTTTTAGACTTAAGTTACTTGCACAAGCTCATAGGCATTTAAAAGATAAGACGAAAATAAAGCGAATACTATGACTTTTCGAAATCTTAATTCATCAAATAAATAATTGAGAAAATATATATGCTAGCCGAATTGCTGATCCCAATTCGAAGATGGCTCAAAGTCATCAGGTATATAATATTTATTTAGCCAGAAAATTAATAAATCATTAAGTGACGCAATTTTGAAAAGAATGTGTAGTATTTTAAGGCATCAGTATTTGTTAATTATTTTCATATTTTACTTTGTCACGGATAAAGAATGCAAGTCCAAGTGATGAAACGCTTTAATGTTCCAAATATATAGCGAATTTAAGTTTAGAAATTTAGCTTTGACCTCAGAAATATTTTTTAGCTTAGCTATGACTGATTTACTGGCAGTCGTGAAACTCTGCTTATATACGAAATTAAATATGATGGCCAAAATAATTGATTATCGTATGTTTAGTTTA